GTGTATGTTGCGCATACGAGTGTACGCTCGGCGTAACTCGGATCGGCCTGTGACTCACCCTTCGGAGAATACCGAAATTAAATATAAAAATTATATTTTTATTAATTAATAAACTTCAAAAATTCATATCTTCGACATACGAACTCCGTTTTCGACGTTCTTTATATCCACGCGTAGGTGAGACTATACTCTACAAATTTCGTTTAGATTCCGTCGGCAAATTTTGAAATTATTTTTATTATTTATTTTTAAATGGTCGCGGTAAGAAAATTTCATTTAGAAATTCATAACTTCATAGTAGGTAATTTAATTAGAGATTTTTGGGACATTTTATTTTCGAAGTTAATTTCATTATAACAAATGTGGTTACAATACTTGACTTTTTAGGTCGTTACGTAGAGTTGAAATATCGGTTGTCACAATAATATCTCTATTTCATATGAAATATCAGAAGCTAAAGAAACATACAGCGGTGTATATTTGGATTTTGATCCAGCTTTTCCTCTGGTGGAGAAATGGACAAGGAATCATCCAAAAGAACAAATTCTTGATGATCCAAGTTCCAGTGTTTTGACTCGAGCAAATATTCGAGCCAAAAATGAGGTTTTTAATATTCATCAAGAATTTTGTATGTTTAATGTCTTTATTTTGAAAATTGAACCAAAAACAGTAAAGAATGCATTATAACATCCCAATTGCATTGTTGGGATGCAGGATGAACTAGCTGAATTTGAACAAAACAAAGTTTGGAGGTTGGTTCCTTTACATGATGATGTTTCGATATTTGGTCTAAAATGGGTTTTCAAAAATAAAATGGACAAAGAAGGCAATATTGTTCGTAACAATGCTAGACTAGTTATAAAAGGTTATTGTCAATAAGAAGGAATTGATCATGAAGAAAGATTTTCCCATGTCGCAAGACTCAAGGATATACGAATTACTCTGGCTTATAGAGCTCATAAGGTTTTCGAACTCTACCAAATGGATTTTAAGTGTGCTTTACTTAATGGTGCTCTTGAAGAAATAGTTTATGTTAAATAATGATAAGTTTCTTGACCCTTGGTATATTCTTGACAAGGCGGTTTATGGGTTAAAACAAGCACCTTGTGCTTGGTATGCAACTCTTATCAATTTTTTGAAAATCCCAAATCAGTTGATCCTACTTTATTTTGAAAGAAAGTAGGAGATCATCGAATGCTCATTCAAATTTATGTCGATGACATATATTTGGTTCAACTAGCCCTTTGTTGTCAAAGGAGTTTGAGCATCTTATGAAGAGTCAATTTGAAATGAGCATGATGTAAAAGATAAATCATTTCTTGGAATTTAAGATTCATCAAAGAAGGGAATGAATTTTTATCAACCAAGAAAATTACACTCGAAACCTTCTTGATGAATTTGGAATGATGAATTACATGAAAGCTAAAGTTCCCATGGCAATTCGCACTCACTTAGGTCCTTCGTTGGATAAGCCATTTATTGATATCAAAACATATAGAAGAATGATCGTTTCATTTTTGTAATTAACTGCATGTTGACATGATATAATGTTGTATGTGTGTAATTGTGCCAGGTATTAAGCAAATCCAAGAGAACCTCCTCTTACTGTAGTGAAAAACATCTTTCATTACTTATATGGAGCAAAGACTCTTGGTCTATGGTATTCGTCAAAAACCAGATTCTTTATTCAAGCTTTCTTAAATGCAGATCTAAGGGTTGTCAATTAGATCGAAAGAGCACAACAGGAGGATGTTAAATTCTAGACTGAAAACTTGTGACTTCGAGGTCAAAAAAATAGACATCGGTATCAATTTCGACTATTGAGGTTGAATACATTGTTGCTTCAACGTGTACATATCAAGTGATCTTGATCCAAAGTCAACTACGAGACTATGCTATTAACATCAAGAATATTCTATTGTATTATGATTCTTAAAATTCAATTCGCATACGTCATTGTCTATTTCAACACTCGAAAACTAAAGATATTGCTCTTCGTTACCATTTCATCAGAGTTCACGTAGAATATGGGAATATTGAAGTCCATTTTGTCAAAACAATTGATCGGATTGCTAATAGTTTTACAAAACCTTTGGACAAAAAATCATATTTAACAATCTTAAATCGATTGGGAATGATGGAAGGTAGTTATGTTCCATATTGTAGATAATTTCTCTTGGATTCAAAATGTGAAAATATTAGACGTACTTTCGATTGTTGGATTAACTTTTGATTTTTATCTCACTTTTGACTAGTTGGTATAACTTTTGAGTGTCTTACTAACTTTCATTACTTGTCTGATGTTGGTTCATAGGATATTGTTCACTTTTAGTGTTCACATGCTTTCGCAGTTGATTTTCCTTTGAATCATTCAGTTTTGGTCTCGTGTATGGAGTTATTCTTTCGATGGGAAGTACATGTCTTTGGTGAGGCGCTCATATTTGGGATATTGGTTCGAGTTCGAAGTATTTGTTATCTATAACAAATAACCAGTGTTTGTAATATCCTTTTTCTTATTCTTTTTCCTTTCATTTGCGAAACTGAATAATCCAAAAGGATTTTCTTATTTTTTTATAAAATTCAAAAATCCAAAAAGATTTTTTTGTTCTGTGTTTGCATTTATAAAATTATAAATCAAAAAATATTTTTGTTATGTTTGAATTTTCATTTTCAGAAAAATTGAAAAGCACATAAATATTTTCCTTATCTTTTTAGAGCTTATTGTAACAACATGTTGTTCTTTCGCATGCCAACTAAGCAAATTCAAAGGGCACAGGTACGATACGAAACTTGTGTACTAGTTAGTTGTCTATAGAATCATGTTGCATCATGTTGTCCACAAGCCTCATATACTCTTTGTGTTCGAAGACTTAATGAAAATTTTCACATGAATGTCTCTTCCCAAATAGGACGTATTCATAATAGTCTAAGAACTACCTTTCTCTTCTCATGTTAAGTAAAGAGATTTCTGCAAAGTCTGTTTTTTGCAGAGGTACAATGAGTCTTCATATCCAATCTTTTTCACCCAACAATTATAACACGGTCACACACAATGCATATTCCCAAGACATTTCTAGTCAAAACCATCCAGCATATAGGTATGTCTCAAGTTTGTGTTGATGATCCTAAAATCATTTTTCCATAATGAAGATGAAACCTAACAAATCCCAACTTAATGAATTGACGTTGAACATTTTATGTTCAAGATTATTACAAAATATTTGTTCCACTACACCCCTTTCGATGTTTAAAGTCTCATTTTCATTTCCATTGTATAATCTTAATGAAATGTACTAATACCAAGTAGATCCAGATTTTAAATTTTCATGAAATGCGATTTCCATTTGAAAATCTTTCTCTAACTTTCGTTACTTTAAAATTTTCAAAGCTTACTTGTTCTTAACTACAATAGTTGTTCAAGTATTTTTTTCACAACTCTTTACACTTATCTCAAGTTGTAAATTTGTGTGAAAATGAAACCTCCCATGAACCTTATGTAAAAGATTCCCTTCAATACTCCTTAATGAATTTTCGATTCTAATTCATGGGAAACAACACAAGCAGTTCGCATCTCTCTTGATGTCAAATGAAGCATATATTTTCCCGGGATCTATCTACTTTTATTTCAAATATTCTTTAATATCATAATGCCATTTTTTTATTTTGATTCTATATTTTTCTTTGGCCACACCTGTGCACTGAAATCCTTAAGGTTTTGAGTATTACCAACTTGAAATGCAGATTTTGCAATGTCTGACAAATGATGTCGCTTATCCTTCCCATAAGTGAATGAGCCCAACCTCCATAACAAAGGATGGATCTATAGTTGTATCGAAAGACATGGGAGTTCATTTTTGATTGGGGGATGGACAATATCCATTGGATGGAACGGTCATGATTTTCATGAGGCTCAGGGAAAAAAGTGATCATCACTTTTATGCATGGTAGTTTTTCCATGGTAAAGGTTAAGTAACCAATATTCCTCGTGGTGTTATATCACTGGGAAACAGTTTGAATTAAAAATTCACATGAGTTATTTAAGTTAAATTCTCATTCCAATTCCATTTCCAATTTTTAAGCTCCCATCTCAAGAACCCTAACTATTCATCGCAAATTATCTCATAAAAATTCTCTCATTCTACTTAAATGGTTGATGAGCAAAACATCGTTGATCAATTCAATACCAATGACGAAGAGGTTTCACAACCGTTGATGAAGATTTACACCCCAATCTTTGGCTTAATCCATTACTTTATGTTTATCCTAAAGAACTATGAATGGTCATTTTGGTTTTGAGAAAATTTGTTCTTAATCATGCTTTATCATCTTCATTTGCAACTTCAAAGAAATGGTTGTATTTGGTTGCTTCTACTGTTGTTTATAATAAAACCACGAAGGTTTTTACATTTCCATTGATGTCCAATAAAACAAAGAAACTTACCAAGAAGCAATTTGCCTAAATCTTGATGTTACCTTCTACAAGTACGTTTTATGATGTGACCACTGAACAAGTTAATCATATATTCAATGAGATGGGTCATCAACCCACTTCATACGTTATTAGTCACTTCAAGAAGTCAAATTCTCCATTAATATACACTTTTTTCTTCATAATTATTCTATGGTGCTTAACAAGACAAATTTCACGGTTGGACAAGGAAAAGCTTAAAGTTTACTCAAATATGGTTGGGTTGTATTATGCACTAGACTTTCATTATGCATCCTTGTTATGGTAAGAATTTGGTAATTCGATTTCATATTCGAAACTAGCAATTGGAGTTTCGATTGTTAGGTTTTGGGGATTCATTCTAAGAGAAGTGTATACTCAGGAAAATGTTCTTTGTCCTACTGATGTTCGTACTACTTTTTTTCCCTCAATGACGGTTCCAAATACCGTGATGGATGATGCTATGATATTCCCGATAGTTGATAATATTTTTGATTCTATGCTCATGTTAATTAATCCTATGCATCAATTGTTGATTTAATATGAAGCTTCAATGGATTCCACTCAAACTGATATTCTTCACCCAAAGCTACATCTAAAGGTGTTCAAGGTTCATCGAAAGCATATAAGGGTAAAAAGAAAAGGAAACAAGAACAGAAGTCAAAAAAAAGTAGAAGAACAAGTGGTTAAAGAGAGTGTACCTACAAAGACTAGCAGAGGGGTACTCAAAATAACAAAGAATCCTACTAAGAAACCATCTGAATCTAAAACCATGAAACTTACAGAAGTGCCTACAGTCGAAATTGTTGAGCCAGTAGCTGGGAAAGTTTCTTATGAGACTGTTGCTCCTATTGTAGACACACTTACAAAAGAAGGTGAACCTGTTGCGACAAATGGGGTTTTAAAGAGGGTGAAGAAGCTACAGTTTACACGAAGAGGAGTTGTGGTACAAAAATTAAAGAAGCAAAAGCCAACTCCTGTTGAGGATAAAATAGACAATTTTTTGTGGAATTAGAACATGACCGTGATGGAACATATACCGAAATGAGAGGTTCATTTCATGTGTCATCATGAAAGGAAACCTCTATCAAATTGTCTATCAAGGAGACAAGTATCCCTGATGTCAATGCAAAATGTATCTAACACGGATGTAAACATCGATATTGGTGCACAACAAAACACAACAATCCCTGGTCAGATGAATGTCATACCACCTAGGGTTTCGAATACTAATACCATTATAGAGGAGGTCGAAAGTCCAGACTTGACTGTGAACTTATCTAATAATAATGCAAATGTTAATATGGGTGATGGGATGAGCACTTTCAAAAACAACAATAACAGAAACAAAAACAGTTAAAACAACAACAATGGTTACAACAACAGTCGAACAATTCTTGTTTCACTACCACAACCAACTTCTCCACCACCTACATCTCTCACTCCACCTACATCTACTAAAACATTTTCTCCTAATTTTTATGGAGTAATGCAAGAACCTATTGCTACTCTTTTCTCATCTCAATCAATCGAACTTAAGAAGACAATTCATGAAGCTGAAGCTGGTGATGATGATGTTATGGTTTCGTTCACTAATTTTCAGTTCACTCCTAAAGAAGAAGATATACCTAATGAACTAATCATGTCAGATAAACAATTCAAGATTCTTAATTCCAAAATGAATTACATTCTTTAATTTTTTGTTGATATTGGTGGCAAGAACTCTTTTAGTGGTGTTGAAGCCGAATATCTTTTGAAATCCTAAGAATCTCGACTGAAAAACTTCATTGATAATGTTGATAAGTGATATGAAGAGAGGTTGGCAACTCAATCTAGAAATTTTGATCATGAAATCTCTAAACTTCATAAGGTGGCGAGAGAGCATCATGAACTCTTTGTGAAACAAGTGTCTGAAATGAAAGTTGCACTTAAGCTCCAGGTTAATGAGCTTCGAACCTTGATGGCTAAAGAAGTTAAGAAGTTAGATAATAACTACAATTTGATGCATAAAAAGGTGGATCTCATAACCAATGCAACTACTCTCCTAATAGAATATACTACTTCCTTCAACAAAGAATATTCGAAAGATCACAAAGTCAAGACTGAAAAGGAGGACAAGGTGTTTGAGAAAGCTGAAGAAGTTTATTTGATTTTACATAAACATTATCTAAAGTTGATCTATCAAATCAATCTTCCCTTTCTCAAGAATTCATTTTTGCTATGGTTTTAAACATTTAGTCAAGTAACAAGGAAGATCTGGTCCAAATCCTAAATTTGGTACTTTGGCAACCAACAAATTCTCCACATTCTATGAACTTCTTGCAAGGGGGAGATATTGTTGTTGGTGTTGGTTCGTCTAAGGGATCTGGTGAAGATACATGAGCGGTTGTGGGGAAAGTTACATCTATACAAATTCCAACAACAATTCCAATGAAGCCAGCTATCATATTTTCAACAACAACCACTAAAATAATGATTCTTTCACAATGAAATATTGATCAATCAAAAGTTCAAAATAAAGGAATTTCGATTAATGAAGGAGATGGAGGTTCGAGTTCTTCCGTTGTCAAATCAACCTCAAATGTTGATCCTAAATATAAAGGGAAAATCATTCAAGTTAAAAAAAATTAAGGAGAAGAAGAGATTACAAGCAATATAAATTGAAAGACAAAGGAAAACAAACATTATTCTAATTAAAAGGGTGAATAATCCACCAGGCATGAACAAGGGTGATCCTAACAAGCATTGTTGTTACGAAACAATCAAGATTGCAGTACTCGGTAAGAAAGATGAATTCTTAAAAAGGCCAATGAAAAGTTATGACAAAATATCAAAATTCAACCAACTAGATTTCCCAATCAATCATTTGTTATTCACGTCTACTCATTTCAAAATGGTTGACAACTTCAACGACAAAGATGGATACAAGAGATTGAAGATTTGCTTTCATGCAGTCTTGGGAAAAAGAAAAGAAGAATTTTGGTCATTGATAAAGATAGTTAAAGTGATGTTGATAGTGCCTGCTGAGTTCTTCGAGGGATTACTGTAGAACTTTCATTATTCTATCATGAGGGAAAAAAATGTGGCATTCAAATTCACAATTTCAGACTTTCCTTTGATGAATCTGAATGGTCTCATCACTATCTAAAAGATTTTATGCAATTTCGGTGTTTTGAAAGGGGCAGAGGCAAATAAAGAGACAATTATGCTTCGTTATGGTGACATGAAGGCATTTCTTTATTTCTACTACGAGTATGTGGCGATTATATATATTATATATATATATATATATATATATATATATATATATATATATATACATATATATATATATATATATATATATATATATATTTCCTTGGAAATCAATAAATCATCAAACATACCTCAATCATTATTGAAGGGAAGAATGAATATTGATACATTTGAAGATGGTGAGATGACTCATCAACCTTTTGGTGTAGTTTTCCAAGGAACAAACAAAAAGGGCAAGTTGATAAATTTTTTGTTCCAAGTGAATGACATTGAGAGATACACAAACTCTCATTTTTCAAATATTTTAATCCATATCAATATCTGCAAAAGGAATCAAAATGAAGATAAATCAAAGATCCAAAAAATCATTCTTTTGTATTTGGAGATTCGAAGAGAGCTGCAACAGGCAATGAAGATTATAGCTTGAAGTTTCGACTATTCTCACTAAGGGGGGATTACTAATTTGAAAGTTGTTATGAGAGTAGAAACCTATATCTTTAGATTATGTTTCTATAAATAAAGAAAGTTAAGTACTTTCGTTATCCAAATTATTCACATGGAAATTACATGGTTCGATATGTATTATCAAGTCCTTGTATTTTTTGTATGTCTGATGTACTCTATAAATAGGGTAAGTGTTCAGGTCTAGAGTAAGGAACACTCTCTGATTAGTTTTTTACTCTAAACCAACATATCATATTTTGATCTCGGTGTTCTTTATTGATTTCACATATTCGATTGATTCAAACATTAATTCTAACACTCTTCATCATGGCTTGCACCATCTTCTATAAGGAGTGACACGGAAATATCCTGAATTCACACATGAGGACCAATGAGAGGAATGATGATAGATTAAGGGTGCAACATGCCTAGTAAAGGGTGTGGTGTGCCTCCAAAGGTTTCTATAAATAGCAGTGTTTTTCAGCTCATTCTCTTATCCTTTCAACCACAAAATCCTATGAAACCATTACATACCCTATCGCCTATACTTTCTAGTTCTGACTACTTTAGTGGGGCCATGGAGCATCTGGGAAATAGAAGTGCTTGGTACTGAATTCCTGCCTACAAAAATCCTGATTTTTGCTAGAAACTTCTATAAGTTAACTTGCACTTACTACACTTTAAGTGTAACTTATATTTATATTCGTAGTCGTTGTTATGAACGTATCAATAAGATTTATCAATAATTCTAGTTATTATATCGATTAATCTTTTTATGGAAGAGGTGTCTAGAATGGTCACGTTGGCTTCGTTGATGGATTTCAGAAAGGCTATATGCAGAAATGACCTAACCTCCTAACTATCCTGCCTAGCTGATCCTTATTTGACAGAACTCTAGGTATTTGATATGTGCATAATTAGTTAATTATTTGACATATATTTTTAGTTATTTTTGGTTAATTATGAAAATAATATGGGCAAAAGGTACTTAAAATGCTTTGAATTGTGTTTTCAGTCCAGAAGATATGCTTGGAGGCAAAGAGGAGAAAAGGGAAAGCAAGTGAAGATTAAAGAGTGAAAAGACTGACCTACTCGGCGAGTAGATCGACCATACTCGGCGAGTACACGATGGTATGCCAGAAGATAAATACGACTGCTAATCTAAAGACGGATAAGTATTGACCTACTCGGCGAGTTGATTCTGCTACTCGCCGAGTACCCTCTGTTTTGAGATATCTTTAAAAGACGAATCCATATCTCATGGGACAGAACCCCTGGCGAATTTTGAAGGATTAGCTGCGACTAAAAGGTTCAAAAGGCGCTAAGGAACCCTAAGCTTCAAGAGTTGGAAGAATTCAAGCAATTAGGTTAATTCTACCACTTAGACTTAGGAATTAAACATGTTTGCTTTCATAAACTTTGTTTTTATGCTTGTTTCTACTACAACTATGAGCTAAACTCGTTTTTGTTTCTGTTTGGGGAATACCAAAGAACTCCTATGGTTTAATTATTGAATTTTGTTTAATTGTCTATTGGTGATTTATTAAATTAAGTTTGTTAAAGAACCTTATGTATTAATCACTACTATTTTCTGTTAATTGGAAGGCAATTAGGTTGCATGAACATCACTTAATTGTTAACCTCATATGTCTATGTGAATGCTAAAACGTATGCTTGGAAGTAATGAGTATGAAACTAAGATTAATAAGAAAATAGGAAGATTAATGTGTGAGCTTGTTTGAGAAACCATCAACAAGAGGTTAATTGAATTAATAACTTAATTGACCATTACAAATCTTATTTAATCCAAATAATTAATCTAGGGAATTAATTAGTTTAAACACTTGATCAACGCTTAAATTAGTTAATTGTCTAAGGGTTAGGAGTAATGAACATGAACCTAACTATTATCATTGGTAACCAATAGCAATTAATCTACCTTAACTTAAATAACCATAGGAGTGAATTGGTTGAACCTAAATAGAAACATCTTTATCAAATTTGGTGAATAGTTGTTGCTTTAGTTAATTAGTTAATTTAGTTGTTTAAGTTTCTAGTCTTGCAAAACTAGAGAAAAACCATTTACTTTTATTATTTGTTTTAGTTAAAATTAGCTATTAGTTTAATTTCCGTTCCCTGAGTTCGATACCTTACTTATCAATCTATACCACTTAAAGACAGGTTCACTGCCTTTGTGTGCTTAAATTATTAATAAAAAGTAGGGATAAAACTAGTTGAATTTACACACATCAAGTTTTTGGCGCCGTTGCCGGGGAACGGTTCTAAATAATTAAGCTAATTCCTAATTTTTTCGATCCTTTGTGTGAGTTTACTTGCATAAAGTTCATTTATTTCAATTTAGTAACTGGTAATTAGGATTTAGTATCTGTTTTAGTTAGGTTAAAAACTTAGAATTTTTTTTGAAAAACCACTGATACTCGCCGAGTGCACTCGCACCTACTCGGCGAGTAACAGTTTAGTTACAATTTTTTTTTCTTTTATTTGTTTACAATCCTTTTGTTCTTTTTACGCTTTTTATTTGATTAATTTCAGGACTTTCATGACCAGAGGAGCAAACACACCACTGGTACCCCCGTTTGAAGACCCCGAATCCGAATTGAAAAGAAACAAAGGGAAGGACGTGGAGAGTTCAAGCACACCAAAGAAATCACCATTGTCCAACTTGAAGACTGTTTTTGGGAAAAAGAAGAGCAGCAAGTCAGGAGCTTCAAGCGCTTCCTTGATAATTGAGGAGCCAATTCAAGAAGAGATTAGATACGAAACCGAGGAAGAAGACGAGGCAACTTACGAACAAGACACCGAATCGGAGGAAGAGTTAGCATTCACTATGGCTAACATTGATGAAATTCCCATGGGAGAATGGAAGAAGAGGATGCGCGACGACCATGGCCCGGGACTTGTGCAACCCGCAATTCCCGCAACTGCCACCTTCGAGCTAAAAGGCCATATCCTAGCTTCACTCAAGGAAATACCTTTCTACGGGAAAGATCATGAAGATGCCTACAAACATTTGGATGAAGTAAATGATGTTGCTGATTACTTCAACATTCCAAATGTCACCCGCGAAACTCAACTGCTTCGGATGCTTCCGGTAACCTTCAAGGGTGCTGCTAAAGACTGGCTCAAATCACTTCCTCCCGGGTCAGTCACTACTTGGGCCAGAATGAAGGAAGAATTTATTGACCACTTTTGCCCACCATCCAAGATAGCCAAGCTCAAGAAGGCCATTGCAAACTTTGAACAACAAGCTGGAGAGTCGTTATATGAAGCATGGGAGAGGTACAAAAGTCTGCTACGAAATTGCCCACACCATGATCTAAATAGCCAACAAGAAGTTTCCATCTTTTATGATGGAGTCAATGTCACGACCCGGCAGCTACTAGACTCACAAGGCCCACTTACAAAGAAGCCACCCCGGTGATCAAAGAATTAATTGAAGAATTCTCTAAACACTCTAGAGAATACCACAACCCTAGGAATGATGTCACGAGGGGAGCCGCATACGCTGCTACTGAAGATTTATCCGCGGTCATGGCCATGTTAAAAACCATGGATAGGAGAATGGACAAAATGGATCAAACTATCCATGCCATACGGGTGGGTTGCGAGAATTGCAATGGACCTCACCTCACTAGAGATTGCGATTTGGATGAGCACGGCAA